GAAGTGAGGCCTGAGTCCTCTTTGGACACAAGGATGATGAGGATTTATCTTACATACTTTGAACATGTCAGGTGGGGCAAGTTCTTGGAGAGAGAAGTTTGGAAAAGAAGAGTCAATGAAAAAGATCTTTAAGAAGATGGATTATTGTCACATTGACTGGAGCAATGGGCTAAATCACAGTAGAGGTGTGAGGGAGATGCGGGATAGGCCAGGGCCTTGCTCTGTTGTCCACAAGGTCCCTCTGAGTTGGAGATGATTTGACAGCACTTAGCAACAATTTCAAGGGCCATGTTTCTGCAAGGTCCTCATCTTGGTGCTGACAGTGCCTGACTTTCTTCTGCTACTAATTATAAATGACTAATGCAGCCTGTTTTCCTCCTCTACCTGACTCAGAAGGACCATGAGGTGTGTTTGCTCCTCCTAAGTCCACCCTGTCAACTGAGTTTCAAAAAGGTCAGGCCATGCCACCTCCACCAACTGGCTCTCGAGTGAGACACCTCTTTGCCTGAGTCACAGTTCAACCTTCCAAGGGTGGCCAAGGGGCTGGGCATCTTCCAGATTCCTGGTTGAGTTAAAACATCATTCCTTCCAGGATGTAAGGAAAGGATTCAAAGGAGGGAAAGACCCTCAAAGAGATGGACTGACACAATGACTGCATCTATGCACTCAAGTATGTTAGAGATGATGAGGAAGGCACCAAATAGGACACGGTTCAGAGCTGCTGTTTACAGAGTCCCTCTGAATTGTACTCAGCTTGAAGGCACCTGAAAACAAAAATTGCCTCTGTTCCAAACAGACCAAAGAGTGATGACAACCAACTTCAGCTACTAAACTCCACGTTCGGCTCCAGGGAAGCAAAGCTTCCATGTTCAGGCAGAAATGGGTTTTTCTTCTATGTATTCTTCACTGGTCAGGCAGCCTCCTGTCATGGACATGGGTGGCATTCCAAATCCTCAAAGAACAGTCATGACATGGAGACTCAGTAGAACGGGACCCACTTTGGCTCCTCTGCATGTACTAGTAGCTACGTATATGAAGAAGGGCTGAAGACTTCTAGCTCCCATGTCTGAGACAGGGCGGCCAGCTGAGCCTCCTGCTGTTGTCTAGTCTCCAAGGGACTGAGCAGAGCAGGGCACAGGAAGGGTCTAATGCTGCCGAGATTGAGCTAAGTCACCCGTGTTTATGGTTGTAGGACAAGCTTCCTAAGGCTGGATCCATGCTGGGCCTGGAGTTGTCTGTGGGAACATTAGCATGCTCTGGTCAGAAAGAAATAGGAAATGTTGAGCCGATGAAGAGTTAACAGGATTCATGCTACAGGACTTCTCAGAAGACGGGTGGGTATTATGTGTCTCCAAGAGAAAATCTCAAAGCTGCGCTTTCTGATCTTTTTTTACTCCAAAACCCTCCTTCCACCCCACAAAACATCACAGTAGGACCACATCTTCAGGTCACATTGGTTCTTGGAGGCAAAGGGACAGGAAACAGCTAACCTAAGAACAGAATAGAGTGGGGCAGCCAAGCATCACTTGAGTCCAGGGAACACCTGGAACAGGGTATAGGAACTGATAAGTTAGTGCCCCACAAAAGAGTAGTTCTGCTTTTCTCAAGGATAAATCACATAGTTCACACTGCAGGGACTTTAAATTCCAAACAAAACTTGGCAGGAAGTTACTTCCATCCCGTTCAACCCCTGGTCCCTCTAAGAACTGCTTTCCTTGGGTGTCTGCAGAGAGAGGGGTGCTCACTCAAGGATATCAGGGCTCTCTCTCCAAAACCACAATTGTCAGCACATCAGGACTTTAAATTAGGACCCACGGCCAGTCTGAAATGGTGTGCATAACCGCCTGTGCATGCGCATGTTTCTCATGGACAGGAAGGCTACAACTTGAAGCAGGTCTCAGAGGACCCTGGTGTGAACATCAGCGCCAAGGACCTTCGCAGAGCATCTAGGGTGCAGGGCCCAGTTTCTAGACCACCTCATCTTCCCCCATGAGACTCCAAAGACACCTCCTAGTGCATGTTCCGTACTACACGTGTGAACCCCATAATCTTCTCTTTCTCCACTCACAGAGCCAGGGCTCCCCTCAGAACTCTTGGTTTTTCTTCAGTAACCAGAGTGAGGTTCCAGGGGCACAATAGTCTTCTGTGCCCCCATGTCCTCATCCCCTCCCCAAACCCCAGCGGCATTCATGGTGTTTTGCTATTGTGGTGGGAGCAGCCTGGGGGTGGTGCTGGAGGGGGTGGTCCCTGGCACAGGGGCTGACTCAGCCAGTGGTCAGCATGCGAGTCACATCCACAGGCACTGCCACCAGGCCTGCCAGGCCTTGCACAGAATGGCAACCCTCTAAGGCTCCCTGGGTCCCCTCGTAGAGTCTCCTCAGGCCCACATACTACTTGCTGCTTCTTCAACAAGTCCCTCAGCAGCATCGAGTTCAGCGGGACGGGGGTATTTTTTTTTTTCTTGCCTTCACAGCCAGTTGCTATTTTGGGGCCATATTAGGTCACCAGCTAAGCCCTGGACGCAGGAAAAGCCTGTCTCTAGGAGCACAGCTGGGACTCAAAGAGGGTTTAAGAGGCAAAGCAACTGGGAGGTAAGGGTGAGTGAGTCTGAAGCCAAGAGAACCTTCCGGAAGTCAGCAAGCACAGCACGCCAGCCCCTCAAAGGAAATTTCCAGCCGGGGGTGGGGGGTGGGGGCAAGAGAAGCCCCTCAGGTGCCTCAAAGCCAGCCTTTCTCCCAGCAGACTCTCTCTTGGGCATACAACTCTCAGGCTCCATGTATATCACTCCAGGGGAGAGCGGAGACTAAATCTCATATACTGGTAAACTGAGGCCCAAAGGGGGACAAGGAGTTCCCAAGTCAGGTCACGAGAGATTTTCCCAATCATTGCTGTAGATGGCCTTTACCTGGGGCCGCAGAAAAGGAGCATGGCTCTTTATATAAAGGGAAATGGAGGCAAGCAGGAACGAAATGACAGGAAGCAATTCTCAGAGACCTTAGATGCCAGAAATTTCTAGAAGAGACAGTATCCTGCTCCTACAGGGGACCTGTGATAGCCCCATGCTCCCAGGTCCTCTTAATGGAAATAAGGCCAGGAATCCAGGGTACCATGGGGGTAGGGGGCAGCAGGTGGAGACTGAGCAGGGGCTCCCACTTGACCTGAGGCACAACGTAGGGTAAGGTTTATTCTGTCAAACAGGGTTACTACTGTCAGTCAGCGCCAACTTGATGGCACCTAACAACCTGACTGAATGAAGGGCCTTAATGAGGGGCCCAGGCACCCCCTCAAGTCACCCACAAGCCACACTGGATCATCTTGTCTACTTTTCCATGGCCCTCGTCAGCCTATGGCTCTGAATCCCCATGGGCCCATACTGAATGTAGAAAATGTTTAGTAAGAATATAAACTGGAAAAAAATCATTAATAAAAAAAGGACTATAAACTGGAAATACCTCAATCCTGTAAAAACACCCCACAAACGGTCTCCTAAAGTTCCTATAGGAAACCACTTCCCTTACAGAGCAACACAATCTCTTACAAAGAAAAACTATCCCAGCCAAAAGCAACTCCTCACATGGAGAGGGGACATTACAATTTTTAAGAAAGTTTTGCCTACAAACACTTTCGCCTTGGGACACCAAAGGGTCTCATTCCAAACTAATCTCCTTCAAGTCCTCCTCTCCACCACCACAGCCACCATCACCATCACGACAGCCACCACGGCCACCACCATGGCTACCACAGCCACCACCACCACCACCATGGCCACCACAGCCACCACTGCTCCACTACATGCACTATCCACACAGCTCACTTCCCTCCGCTTAGGGAGCACTGGCCCACCTGAGCGTCCTAGGCCCACATATCCCCTAGACAGGGACCATGTGGAGGGCACACCCCAGTCAAAGGCCTTGGGCACAGTGGGAGCTTAATAAATAACTCATTCATCCCCACCACACCCCACACACTCATGCCTTCTCAGTAAACTCATTCTGGGATGTGCCTTTCCTGAAACTAAGCATCTGGTCTAGGAGGAAGGTGACCCTCAAGTGTGCAATTTCCACATGCATCACCCCTCTTGCAGAGAGCTGCCAAAAGGGGAGGGAGGGGCACTGAAGGGTCTGCAACTAATTCCCAAAGAAGGCAGTAAAAGAGTGGCAGGAGAGAGGAGCGGTATCTGAGGAGGTTCCAGAGCGAACTCCTCCAAAGGGACCAGGTCATGGCGATTTCTGGATTTGTCTGGCCAGAGAAGATGCACTGCCCATCGTCTTTGTAACTGAATCCACTCAACAGGCGAACTTTGCAACGCAGGAGGCCCAGGTTTCTGGAAAAGGCACTGGCAGCTGGAAGTTCTCCCCCCATCTCGCCCCCCTTCCAAGAGCTCAAGAGGATTTCCCTTTCATTTCCTTCCAGGCTGGGAGGGCGGGGGGACAGCGCAGTCTGCAGGGTCAAGCCCTCAAAAACCACTTCCTATGTGGCTGGGGGAGGGCAGCAGCTGTAGGATGTGTCTGAGGGTCTCGGCGTGAAAAGAGCGGGGAAAGTCCTGCGGGTGAATCACTTCTCCCCGCGGTGCCCAGCGCACCGGCCACCACAGAGGTCCGAGGAGAAAGCGGAGTTGAGGCGCCTCCGGAGGCGCTCGAAGAATTGGTCCCGGCCAGCGGCAGCTGGGAGGGGAATGGGATTGGGTGTGGGAAGGACACTAGAACGGGCTCCTCGCCCTGGCTGTGCCTGGGATGTGGGAAGCGAGCTGAAGCCCCTCGCGTCGCCGGGTCCCCTAACACCCTTGGGGCAGGGCTCCTGAGTTAGGAGAGGGGGCGAGCGGGCCTCGCCTGGGCCTGGGCTGCTCCAGGCTCATCCGGGAGGTGACGTGCTCCGGGCGCCCCGGGACTTCGGGCGGCGAGTCTGGCAGAGCCGAGATGAGCTGAGCCAAGCCGGGCCGGGCAAATCGGGACGCCCTGGCGTGGTGGGATGGAGGGCGGGGGGCCCGCGGAGGCACCCACCTCTCCGCGCTGCAGTTGGAAGAAGTTGTTGAGATAGCTCGAGTGCAGAGGCGACCCCAGCTGCTCCGGGCGGCCCTTGCCGAAGGCCAGCTCCGGGGGCGCGGTGCCGGCGGGCGGCTCGGGCCGGAAGGCGTCGAAAGCGCTGGCCTGGTGCGTGTCCTGCAGGGACAGGTAGACCCAGTTGAGCAGCTGGGCAGGCTGGTACACCGAGGCGGCGCTCGTGTCGATGGCCGACAGCAGGCTCATTTTGCGGCGACGGCCCCTCCCCGGCCGCCCGCTTGCGCCCCCCCCAGCGGAGGGGCGGGCACCGGGGAGCCGGTGCCCACTGCCCGCCACCTGCGCCCTGACGGCGATCGCCCGCGCCCAGCGGCTCCTGCGCGGCTCACAGCCGTCGTCGCCACCACCTCCACCGACTGGCGTCCCGGCGCGCGCCCGCGGAGGAAGAGGACAGCGAAAGTTGGGCAGGAAACTTTGGACCCCGCCCCTCCGCGCCGCGCGCCCCGCCCCACAATCCGCTATCTGCCTCGCCGCTGACCCCTCCGGCGGCCACGCCCATGAGGTGGGGTCCGCCGAGGCCCCGCCCTCGCCCCGCCCGCTGGCCCGTCCACTTTCTAACGACTGTCTCATTACATGGCTGTGGGACAGAGAAAGGAAGCGGGGGTCTGCATGGTCAGCTCGTGGGCGGTCCGCTCACTGGGGCCCAGCTGCGCGCCGGGTCCCCTGCAGCAACCGGAGAGCTGTGTCTTTTCTGCCTCTCTCATCCTTCCAAGTCCTATCCAGTTGTTTAACTTTCATCTCTCCTCTTCTCTTTGTGGGTCGTGTCATCTTTCTGTCTCATCTCTTCTAGTCTTTCCTATTTCCACTTTGTCTAGTTGAGTCTGTCTCTCCTCTCAGCGCGCGCACACACACCCACACACGCGCGCGCACATTCCCTCCTTTCCTCCCTCCTCTCGCTATCACTGTAGGACCCTCCCCCTCCCCCTTAATTCCTTCCATCTGCAGAATCGCTTTGCTGGCCGGCTAGCCAAGGGGGGCCTGGGTTCCTGCCCCAAGAATGACTCCCTGCCCCCACCCCTTCCCCCTCTCTCTTCTCTTATTTCTCGTCTGCTTCGCACCCCAGCCACTACCTTGGCCCGGTCCCTGGCCCCAGCCCGCCTTCTCCTCGTGCCGCTTTCCTGCTGCTGTGGCAAGGGGCAGGAGCCCAGACGGGTCCTGGATCGCGGGAAGGTGGCTGTCATCCACTCCCGAACTGGGCAGCTGTTTCCTAGCTGTCGGGGGAAGCTCCTTTGCCCTTCATCTAGGACACATCGGAAGTCCGGGGTTGGTATGGGGTTAGTTACCCCGAGGGCTGTGCTGCGTCCACGCCAGGCACACCCAAGGGCAAGGTGTAGCCGCGCGGTGCAGGCGCCCCGGAATAGATCCCTAGGCCAGATCTGAGTTACCCTTCCCATTTCCAACCTGGCTCCGGAGTCATTTCACCTGGCATTCAAGGGACAGCTCGGCCATCTTACAGCTGAGTGAACTCGCGTGGCGCCTGACTCTCTGCAATAGAGTCTGTTTTCTCCCCTATGGAGTGGCCCTACCTCCAGGGAAGTTTGTGATTCACTAGCTTGAGCCTGGTAACCGCTTCCCACCCCAGAAGAGCGAGGATTTCTCAGTGCCTACTGGATGGAAGGGGACACCAGAGCACCTATCCAGATGCCTGGACCAGAGCGCTCGCTCCCCATCAGCTTCCCAAACAAGAACTTCTTGATTTTATTCTGCCATATCTTCGTGTTTCAAGGATTTTGTCAATAAATTTAGAATTATTCATGCAGACAATTTTGATATTTTTATTCATCAAAGATCCTGCTAAACACAGTGCCCTTAAAAGTTTTTAAACAGGTTTAAATCTACTTGATTAAAGACAAAGTACCTGCTTGTGGAGAATAAATGGGAGGACTGTTTCACCTTTGGAAACATTATGTGTGGGGCTCTGCTTTTAAGGTTGATTCTAAGGTAAGGTTGTTGTTAAGTGCTGTCAGGTCGCCTGAAGGTAGGGTGTTAGAATCTAGGACACTGATCTAGGCTTCACCAGGATTTTATAGGAAAAAAACCAACAAAATTCTGCTTATCAGAGAGAGGACATCTTGCAAGTGTACAAGTAGGCATTGGGGAGCCCTGAGGAGACCCTGAGGCAAGTACTGCACTCCCATACCCAGGTCAGGGCTCTCTGTTTCCATCTCTCACTCCACTGTGGACATGAGGTGAGATTACGGAAGCACTGGCATTCTCCTCCACGTGGGCTGTGATGTAAATTCTTTAGAAAACTATGGGTAACTGTCAGGTGTCAGGAAATGGAATTACTCTGCCAGTCAAGCAAACACTTTTATTCTATTTCTTGGTCCAAGATCACCAAAAAAGCACCTTTTCTATCATTCCCATGTGTTTTATCAACACCAGTTACAAGTGACTTGATGCTGGGAGGGAGCTTGTCATACTGACCACCACACCGGTGGCCCTGTCCTGTTTTTCATTTTCTCTCTTTCTATGGTTCTTACAAAGGACACAGTAGAGGCTCCAGAAATGTTCACCAGCCTGACAGATGCATGCTTATGGATGACCTTTAAGGCCTGGATAAGGTCCCTGGATGATGCAATGTAATACAATGGTTTGTACTCACTAAACATTGGTGGTTTGAACTCCCCTAGTAGCACTGTCAAAGAAGACCTGGTGATTCCTTCCCATAAAGATCACAACCAAGAACAACCCATGGTGTAGTTCTACTCTATATTCAACAGCAAAGGGTTTGGGATTTTTGGTTTGTAAGACCTGAATGACTTCTTTCATTTTGGACTTTTCTCCCTCCCCTCGCCCTTAGCACACCTGCCAGCACATGGACTCTGTACCATGTAGGTGATCAATACATATGAGCAACTGCCAGATAGTCTGTCTGAACAGCTGCTGACTGATATGAGTGTCTGCAGCTCCTTAGTCACCCAGAGAAGGTGCACACCAGGGTTCCCTACGTGATGGAGGTGGTAGGGGTAAGTGACTGACAATTGTTAGAAGCCCAGGTGTGAGGTTCAGAAGAGAGTCACACTTGAACTCTGTGCCTCCCACATACTATCACCATACAGTCAGAAACTCTGCATTTAGAACACCAGCAGTCCTACCTTGGACTTCAGTTTTCAGAGAGGGCACTAAAGCCTAGAGAAGAAAAGGCTTGCCTGGGGACAACTTAATCTGGTGACTAAGCCTCTGCTCTGAATCTGCCAGCACTACCTCGCTCTCCCTCCACTTCTTCCCATGCACTGTCCTTGAGCTGTTGGCAGGAGGGGACTCCCAGGTGAGCTCACTTCCATGGGTGGTGACTGTACAGCCTAGAATGCAACAATGGAGGGAACACAGGATTTGGAGGAAGAATGGCTGAGTGACTGTGGCAGGTCACCAAACCCCCTGTGAACCTCAAGGCTCTCAGCTATCAGTTGGGACTGTTGATCCCATTCCTAGCTTTTCTAGTAACTAGCACAGCTAATTGGGTATGAACATAGAGTCTCTTTGCTAATGCATGGTTATAATATCTGTAAAAACATTTGTTCCATTTCTGTAGAGAGGGTGGGGAGCAAGTAGAGATGAATTCTACCCATAAAGTTGCCCAGGTAGTGACTCTAATATTCATTTAGAGACTTTGCAAACCAAGAACTTTGAGTTGAGTGATGCAGGAGAAGCTTGAGAATGAGGAGCAAGCATAGTCAGTGACTATGACTTCACAGTCAGTGGAGTTGGCCTTCATCTGGGGACTGAAAGACACAGAGATAATTATGCAGGCAAAGAATACAGGCCTTTAAAATCCTGAGTGCACTGATTCTGCCCAGGTACCCAAGTGGGAGCTCTGGCAGCCTAATGAGTAAGGAGCTGTGCTACCAACTCAAAGGTAAGTGAGGCAAGTGGTTTGAATCTACCAGCTGCTCCACAGGAGAAAGATGAGCAACCTCCTCTCGTGAGCCTGATTCCCTCTGAAAACCACTGGAAGGTCAGCTATGTGTTGATTCTGACTCAATGGCAATGATTTGAGCTGAGCCGAGGTCCCTGCATTGCCCTGAACTACTAACCTGCATGCTGGTGGCTTCATCCACTGCAAAATGCCACAGACAAATAAGCCTTGCTTTTTTCGAGATTATATCCACGTCACCCAAACCGCAATAGAATGTTCAGTAAGAAAAATGACACAGGAGGGGAAAGATTATAGGCAAAAAACCTCATGGAGTAGTTGTGTTCTGGATTCCGTGGGGTCACCATGAGTAAGGACTAATTCTAAGTCAACATTTCTCTGAGAGACACCACAGGATGATTATAACACAAAGGAATCTCCAGTGCCCCTGAGCCCTCCTGCGCGCGCAGTACCTCAGGAATAAACAGCAAAGATCACCCTGGGAGGGCTGCAGTTGACCTCTCCTCTGGGCCAGTGCTGGGCATTGGGTTCCTCTGGACTGTGTTGACACAGAAGGTGTCAGTTTACAGCAGAGATGGCAAATAGTGTCCCCACAAGTGCCACTGCCCACCCCCTCCCAGGACAGACATCTCTAATTGCAGACCTCTTTCCCAGACGTGACTTCGGATTCCTTCTCAAACAGCATTACAGCAGCACTCCATGTTGCCACTAACAGCGAGCTAGGGTTGACATAGAAGATGAAAATTCTTTGCCATCCAGTCCTCTGGCCATTCTCCCAGGATATTCTAACTTGTGTGGTGACTTTGTATGGAATAAAGGAGCTCTCTTAAAACCCAGTCAGCTCAATGTGTCTGTATAAGAAAAATAAGAGAGGTACTTCCTCCCTTACAGATGGAGCCTTTGTGAAGGTGTGGTTTTCAGCCCTCACTCACCCAGAAGTCTTTGTACAGAGGACATAAAAAATGATAGGGGCAGCTAGATTCTTCCAGGCCCCGCACACTGCCTCTTGATGAGTCCTAATAGATTTGAGGAAGAGTGATGCATTCTTGAACCCAAAGTCAGCCTACCACCCCATGCAAGTTCTGAGTTGTGTAAAGTGCCAGGGCTTCTGGAGACATCCCCTGCCTAGCTGTGGGATGCTTGAGAGGTTAAGTACAAATGATTCCCACTATTTTTGAATCCCAAGACCAGAGAGAAGTGGATGCTCTGATGTCCTTGGTCTCTGGAGAGCCTTGCTTGAATATATGTGGTGGGCATGAGAGTGTGAAGTAGATGTGAGGGGTGCAGGCTTACTGCTGGGGTGTGAAGTCCT